TTCTGCATTCCTCCTAAGAGACATCATTATCCAGCCTTTATGCGGAGTAATACAGGGTGTATTTGTAAATCGTTATATCTTGTAAGTTTTCATACTTTTTTTTTGTTAATAAAGTTCTTATATTGGTATTTTTTGGTACTTACTTGGTTTTTCGGCCTTCGCTTAGTTTTTTTTTTTTTATTAATTTCTTGGTATTTGGTAATTATATTAAATTTTGACTAATTCAAAATCAAGTCACATTTGATCTTATTAGAGAGAACCTAGCACTTATTTCTCCATTCACAAGATTTAAATTCGAAATTTTATTTAAAAAAATTTATCTCTTTTCATTTGAATCAATAAGTCCGTTGGATACCTTCACTTAGTTAATAAAGTTGATAAAATCCTTTTAAGAAATGGCTATTCTCTAATGAGCCCTATTCATCCAAAAAAATTTTTTTTTTGAAACTCAGATGATATCATTATTTATCAAATTATGTTTTGAAAGTTATTACTTACACTATTTATTTTTAGTAATTTATTATTAAAAATAAATGAAAAGAACATATAAATTAGTAAAAATTGAATGATTTCTCTTAAATGATGAGTTAATTTCTTGTTTTTAATATTTTATAGATATAGACAAAATCTACCAAAGCAAAATTCAACGTATTTTTTACTCGAATACTCTTTATGTTAAGCTAATGACAGAAGACATATATACAATCCAAATAACCAAATCAAACTAGTGATACTGCCATGTGCTTCACGCATCTCATGCAGTCACTCGGACTAGAGTTCATTTAGAGAAAGAAAATGAACAAAGTTTCATACTTCCCTTAATCCAATGGATGCAACTCAACTTGTCCTTTTTTTTTCTGTTTTTTTGGGCCGAGATGCAACTCAATTTGTCTAAATCAAGCATTTTATACTCTCAAAAGAGTTTCCATTCAAGCATCCCTTATCACAATTCACGTCATGCAAAACTTACGATGTTTAAAACAACTACCACATTTATCCTAATATTATATTCAATTAATTTTACTATTTTAACATGCTTAGTGAAGGAGTTTTTTTTTTATTTACATTTAAAGTGTTTTAGAGTTAATTTTCACGCACATCAAGATTAATTAATCTTTTTTTGAGAGATATTAAGGGTGCAACCCTTGTATGGATCCGATACATTTAAAGAAATTAATTTTTTTAAGTACTGATTTTAAAACTTAAACCTTAAACTTAACTGATAAAATGACATTAGTTTATAGATGAATCCAAGCCTTATGGTTCTAGTGGAGGAGTTGGCGGTATATGATTTCAAAATATAATTTTTACTCACAACTTTTGCTAACAACTTCATTCTATCATTTGATTATTTATTTATTAGATTTTGACTTGCATAATAGGAGATCACCCTTTTTATCTCTAAACTTATTCTATTCACATGTTATATAATTTGAATTAAAAAACTTTTACTTCTAAAAAAATATATTATTATTAAATTATTTAAATCATTGATTATGTATTATTTATTAAATGACCCATTTCACTCTACCGCCACAATGATGAAGCTAGAGAAAAAGTTAGTTAAGCCCTTTAAAGTCCTTTCACTTTTAATGTCCTTAAATTCTTGATTTTATATCATTTTAATCTTTTTAAAATTTTTTTTATCCATTAGAAACTACTTTTGGTGATGGTAAGAAGACAATGTAAATGAAGAAAATATAAAAGATAAAGAAATATTAAGATTAATTGAATGATGATTTTTAAAGTATTGCCTTACTTTTCTTTTCTTTTCTTTTCTTTTTTTTTTGAATATGAAAAATAGTTTTTGGGTGGCGGCGGGGGGGAAGGGGGGAAGTTTATAAGTTTAAACTACAGCAAAGATTAATTTTTTTTTATCATAATCCTTTTTAATAAAAGTTTATTAACATATAACATTTGTGCCACGCCCCAAACCCTACAGTAAAACAAACGTCATACACTTGTAAGTGGAACCCACAAGTGCACCAGACTTAGAATCAAATTAACTTATTATCAAAACAATCAAATACAAATCAATAAAATTTGTTAATACCTTTATTACTATTAAAATTTAACCCATGTTCACATAAATACTTCGAAGTTAAATTATGTAATAATTGCGAATCAAATCCTCTAAATTTCTAATAAGCCTAAAAAAACTAAATCAAGTTTCAACTAAATCCAAATTGACTCAAATAAGCATCCGTCACACGTCTTGATTCCAATCGTCTCTAGTATCATCACTTGAAATTATGGATAAGGAAAAACATGAAATATAATCTTAGTTAATCTTAGTAAGTGAATATTAAGTTTCCCCCTTTTATTTATAAATTTTAAAATTAAGCATGTTAACAAGTGTAAATCAAGTATCAAGAAAAAAAAAGTACAAGGATAATGAAATAGATGTCTCATCTATAAATCATAACCAGTATTTATAAACCTCTTATTATCAGGTACAAAATTACTGGTGTATAATCTCACAACCAGGATAACAAGTATAACGATAATGAACTAGTTCTACGAGAAACATGTCGACATGTGCTAGCATTTGTAAACCTCTTGCTAATGGGCACAAGTAAAACATGACCATATTGGAGATTAAAATAGGCTAGCAAGCACATTTTAAATAAACATACTTATTTCAAGAAAACATGTATCACAGAAATCAAGCAACATGTATTAAGAATTTTTATAAATAGGTTTGCTTAACCAATTAAAATTTAACTTAAATTAAAGTGAGATTTAATCTCGATAACTAAACCAAAACAAGCTTTTAATCCCACCACCATCTTAAAATCAATAAAAATCATGTTTTAAACTTATATTTTAAAATTAAGAACAAACCATAAATTCATTTATCTCGAATATAGAAATTTTAAATTTGAAATACACAAACAATCAAGAACTTAAAATTTACATTGAATATTAATCAGTAACAATCTAAAACTACTAATCTTTATTTAACTTAATAATACTTAATTTTACAAGATTTATATTAAGATTTATATTGAATTTTCCACACAAGTGTCTGCACCTGTTTACTAATTGAAATAGAGGGTGTTAATACCACTGTATCAACACCTAAATCTGTCACACAGCACCCATGTTACTGAACCACATGGGCATAGTATAATGTTGTAGCACCACCGGCCCCATCTATTGTTATTCATATTATTTTAATGAAGGTGTTGACACACTTGACAAATCTCAGACCAGCAAAGCGTTGACATCGTCACCACGCATCATCGCGCAACAGCACTCGTATGCAATCGTGTGGGTGTTGCTGCGCAGTGGCTCCTTCACCTCATTAATTGTTGCTTATAAAATATATATATATATATATATATATTTATATTTACATCATCTAATGTTTCCCTTAATGTTGATGAGTATACTACAACGTCCCAACAAATTAGGTGTCGTAACCAGTATTTGAAATCTAAAAGTAAACTTCTCTTTCCATTGTTAATTCAATAACCTTTGAACAAGACATGAAAACTCATTAAGATGTAAGATTTTGATATAAAATATGAGATGAAATTTTAATAATCAATATAATAGGAGATCTTGAAATTATAATATTAGGTTTAGTAATAAAAATCTAAAAAAACAGCAAGAACAACAAATCAAGATGATCAAATATACTCACATTTAGAATCTTAAGATTAAATTATAGGAGAAAAAGATTGTTGAGCCTAGGAAAGAGGTGTTTACTACTTAAAAGTAAATGGACCATGATTGGTGCACACCCGAATTCAACACCCAGGTGTGCACACTTCACATAAAAAAAAAAAATGGACCAGGTGTTCTTCATTTTTTTTTTTATGCGGAGTGTGCACACCCGGGTGTTGAATCCGGGTGTGCACACATCATTTTCCAAAGTAAATTTATTTTAGTAAGAGAAATAAGGTTGAGTAGGTAAACTCCATGTTTGTTTAAATTTTATTTAAGAAAAATAATAATTTCTAAATTAAAAAACATTAATCCCAAATTAAATCTTTAAATTAATTTGATTTAATTAGATTATAATCTCTTAAATTTAAAATTATATCTACTCATAATTAAATGTAAATCCACTTAATAATAGTAATTATGGAAAATCCAAAAATTATTAAGGTTAGTACAATTTGTAATTAAAACAAAATCAACTTCATTTTTTAGATAAAAGTTAACAATAATTACACTATTATTATTTTTTATCTTGTATCTTATGATAAACCTTTTATTTATTTATAAGTTCATAGGTTTCCTTTCTCAATTACTTGATGTGTGATTTTTCCAATTAACAATGCTATAAATCATTCATGATATTATAAAATTATCTAGATTATGTTCGTATTTTGAGAATCTCAAAGGAAAATAAAGAATTAATGCAACATTTGTTTAGATTAAAATGTTATGCTAGCTGTTGGTTTGGAGTCCAAAATAAAAATGAAACCCATTGTTTTACTATCTTCACTAATATACTCTTATGTATACCCATAAATCCTACTGGCATAAAAATTCTAACAAGATACAAGAGTAAGAAAAATTAGGCAGTTCTAGTATTTTATTCTCTATTCTTTTCCCTTCACATTTCAAGATCCAGACACCATGTCGGCAAAATAAAATCTCAAATAACTAATTCATACCCAGATACTGTGTTCTTCATTGGATTGAAAGATGATGTGAAAACCAGAATATCACCATTTGCCTGCTCTATTGGTTGTTCTTCACTAAGACCAACAACAGAAAGTAGTGGTGGTATGTTGCAAAATAACAAATCAGTCATCTGATACTTATGAAAGTGGAAAAGAAAACTTTTGAAACGGGTAGTTGCATTTTAAGAAGGAAAAAAAAAAGGTCACTATGGCTATATATCTAGTTTCAATATAGAGAACCCAAATGGCAGTTGCCTAAATGAGGTGGGGCAACTGTTCATTACAGTTGAAGAAGTATATATTTTGCTACTGTTTTAATATAGAGAACTATATAATTTTCAACTGTTTTGGAAAATCAACAATAATCAAGTAAATTGACAGGCATGCTCCAAATGATACAAACATTACCTAAACACAAGACAGGGTATATTGCTATAGTCTGGTTTGCTGGTTGTCCAACAAAAACAGTTTTCTATAGGCAATGCATTTAAAATTGTTAAATGTATCAAATATTAAATAACCATATAACATTTAATATAGAGAAATATAGGAGCTCCGAAGAGAATACAAACTGCAAAGTAGGTTCCCTCCATTAATGTTACAAGTGTAAGATTCATTCTATTCGCAACATCAGCAACTGCCCATATACTGGGTGTATATGTTGGTGTGTTAGTAGTCATCCACCTGCAATATAAAGAGAGAATCAATCTCACTCATGCAGTCATCTTCTATGTTTTATAAAATCTTTCCATAAAGATTGCAATTTTAACTTGATCATGCCATCAGATTCAACCTTTCATAAACAAAATTAGGTAAAAACCATCACCATTAAAAAGACAAAGGCCTGCAAAAAATTTGAGCCTAAGGTCATTTTATAGCCACGATTTCCTTTTAAAAGAATGAGAGTCATATTAAGTTTCCATTCCCCTCTCTAGACAATCAAACTACTTACGAACATTTGGTCCAGGCTCACACTTGAAATACAAATACGAACTTTTGGTGCACAACCCAAGCTCATCCGAAAGGATAAAGGGGAACAATTTCTGGAGCAGGGCCCTAGAATGGATTAAGATGGACTTCTGGAGTTCGGCCCAGGCTCATCTTTGGGATCGATTAAGACGGATTTCTGGAGTAAAGCCCAGGCTCATCTGATGGGGTGAATGAGAAGGATTTCAGAAGAACTAATTCTTTGAGTCTTTTTTTTTTTTCTTTTTTATGTAAATAAATTCTTTGAGTGTTATTTTATTTCAAGTATTATTCCTTCTTTACTTTACTGTCCTTTTAACTTTAAAAAATTCTAATGATATATTCTCCTTTAATTTGTAGCGATTGAATTAATTCTTGGAGTGTCTTGCTTTTTTCAAAGAAAAAGTAAATGGATCCTTTGAGTGGTTACCATCAAAATGAACATTCTTTGAGTGTTATATTATTGCAAGTACTATTCCTTCTTTACTTTTTTTATTCTTTAACTTTAGGGTTTAGGGCTTCATCATTCCGCTCCTTTGATTTCTTTTTCTTTAATATAATCTAGCTTAAATCTTTCTTGTTGACTAAAATAGTTTGCATTGATCCGGGATCTCTGGAAGGATTTTATATTATTATACAAATAATTCTTTTGGAAAAGCTTCTTCTGGTGTAAAATCAACTTTAATTTTATAATGTTTGATAGAAGCAAGCAGCGGAAGAAGTTGAGATGATTGAAGGGGTCAAGCAGAGCTAAGATTGAATATTCCCAAATTAATTAAACTGATGCTTTTAGGTATAGACTAAAGTATAATTTGAATAATATCTTAATTAGCTTATTGTCATGCATGCATTGTAGCTGAAGAAGATGAGATGAGACTGAAAATTCTCATTTTGTTGAATTTGCAAAGGAGATTGGGATGTTGTAAAGGAGTTTTGTGGGTTGACAGAGTACCAGTACCCTGTCAACCAGCAAATGGCAAATCTAGGATTCCTCCAACTCGACCGCTAGGTGTAGCTAATAAAATGTTTGGTAAGAAATAATCAAAATTTTATTTTATTGTGTTACGTACAGATCCAAGACTCCAAGTCCAAGCTGAAAGGAGTCAGCGGTTCTCCTTTCTCCACCACCCACAAGGCACTACTCTACTAGAGACCTTAGAAAAATTTTTAAATTCAAAAAGAGGTTTTTTTT